AGATTTTTTTGAAAATTTGTTTTTTTTTTTTTAATTCCATATTATTCAAAGAGAAAATGAGAGAGATGATGATTCTGAGGCCACCCTATCCCAGCCATATTATTCACATATCGAGTCCCAACAGCAACAGTGTAGGGATGAGCACGAAATACTGTAAATTAAATGCTGAATGGCGGTTCATGCAGGGAAAGAACATATCAATATGCGCATATTCATTCAAAAACATGAAAATTCTTAATGGAGTACCCTCATTTTTTATTGAATTCCCAAAAAAAAATATTTATAATGAATTTTAATAATTTTTTCAAATTTTTTTTAAGCTTTATTTTGACCGATTCACCCGATTCTCAATCCGGATCGCCGATTCGCCGATCCGGATCGGTTTTTTGGAAGCCCGATCCGGGTCACCGATCCGTTTTTTAAACCATTGGATTGAACACATATGAAAACATGAAAATTGATGGTCCAAAAATGCATTACAAGATGCTCTATTTCCAAAACTTGAAATCTATTTTTTCGCATGTCTACTGATTTTGAGGTGAGATGATCAATTTGAGTATGCAAACAACCTCTTCTAGTGAAATTTTTGAGGTGAGCCCTAATTTGATTGTTCGGAGCATCGCACTTATATAAACTTTTTCCTTCCAAAATTGCATGTGATATATGGGATCCAGCCAATCTTGGTCACCTGGTCCCCTAATAGGACCGTTGCAATCTCTGAGAGAGCCAATGATCCACCACCAAGTCATAATTTTTTTTTATACTTGTTGGAAACAAGCTAGTCCTAAGACAATTCTCAATCTGGATTGGTGGTTTTTTAGAAACCCTTAATTTTATCGTTTCAATCATGAGATTATATATATATATATATATATATATATATGGATCAGAAGAACTTTCAAAAGATTCTTCTTCAATTTGTAATATACTAAACAGTTGCTCTTTGATACTGTCATCTATTTGTAAAACATCTATTTTCTTGTTGATTCTCACATAAGCAAAATATAACAACATACAGATGAAACATATAAGAAAAGGAATTTTAAAGATAAATTGACATTCTTGCAAAGATAAATATTATTAAGCAGAAAATACACAAAGAAGTCGATATATTAATGAGGATCCAATTCACATAAATAACATGCCAGAATTTTATATAAATAACTATTTTAAACTGCATGAGAGAGGAAGAACAAATAATATGAGAGAAGAAAAACAAAAAACTTACATATGACACTTGCGGAAACTGGAAAACAACTTCCACTCGTCCGGACAGTACTTGGGTAACAAGTCCCAGTTACAATCACACATGTAACACTCCCACTCTTACTATTTTTAATACACAAACACTCTTATCCTTTTATAGAAATTTGATCTGGTTGGCTGGATACACCACCAGATATACAGTAGAGAGAGAGTACAGTTGCAAAGAGATTACAGAGAGAGAAAACTTCTGATGCCTTGATGAATGACCTCCTTCCTTCTTTTATAACTTGCGGACGCCAAATTTTTCATTTCAAGTCCGTTGGTGCTGGATGGGACTAAAAGGTGCTGGTGATGCTGGATGGGACCTAAAGGTGTCGGTGATGCTGGATAGGACCTAAAGGTGTCGGTGGAGAAAGATGATGTTGATGTGAACAGGAAAAGGTGAAAAGATGTTGTCGGTATGAACAAGAAAAGGTGAAAAGATGTTGTTGGTAACTATTTTAGCTTTTACTACTTTGTCGGCATTTTAGGACTCGTGTGCTTTTGGGTTGTAGTCGCTCCGTCCTGTGTATTGTGATATCATTTACTGTGATATTCCGAATTCCATATCCTCGTTTTCTTACTCATAGGTTTCTTCATTTTGAGTTGAAATAGTCATGGCTTCTTCTTCCTCATCGAAAATCTGTAGCAATTTCTTTTTGAGCTCTTCTCTGGTTGCAGTAGGGCGAAACTTATTTACATTGTCCGCCACGTGTACTTCTGTATCCGGGGGTGAAAATATTACCTTTATCATTTTTATTTTATCAGGGTTTAGGGCTTCATTTTCATAAATGTCCCACCACTTTATATATATTTGTCTGCCTAGTTTAGGAATATATTTCCAGTTATTTATATAGTCTTCTGATATATGGTGGGACCATTTCATGATCCATGGAATCTGGTATAAAGCCATAAAATACATATTGAGATCTATATTGGGATTATTATTATTGTGATCTATGAACTTCCTTTGGGAAGCTTAAATATTAGCTGGCAGTATTTATGTTCCGGATCCCCATAATTGGAACCAGTTTTTGAACCAATTTGGGAAATCTCCTATTACTGATATTTTTATTTGTATAAACCACGTATGGGAATTTATATTATTTTGAAAAGCAAAGACCTCATGCCATGCTTTAATGTATTCAAAATATTGATAATATTTATTACTGAAACCTTCATTTTGCAATTTTCTAGGTTTCAAGGGGTCCGTGCCCCATTTTTGTATGAAATTATTTTCCTTATTTGGAATTTGGAATATGCGATCATATTAGTATTCTTATAAAAATGGACTAAAGTAATAGATCTCGTTTCAAGGAGAATGGTTTCATACGACTCTCAGCTTTTGTCTCCTTTATTCGGGTGTAGGTGGTTATTCAAATATGTAGCAGCTATTTCCCCTGGGTCCTTAGTTTTATGATTATCTTCTATTATAGTAATGGCTATGAAAGAGGTTTCTATGAACCTACTCTTTTCTTCTGGTGTATTTATAGCTATTGGTTTAAGAGAAAATGTTATATCTTGGGCTTGTTTTTTGACTATTTGTTTTGGGGTTATTGGTGATGATGATGTTGCCAAAGCTTTACTTGGCACAAAAACTATTTCCAATTTCCCCTTTTTTTGCTAAACTCCTCTTGTCCCCCTTGCAAAAACTCACGAGTTAAAACATCAGGAATGTAATTAGTGGTGCCTTTAATATGTTCAACTTCAAATTCAAAGGAAGAGAGTATACTTTACATCGAGCAAAAATTTATTTGGAGACAAGGTTTTTGACATCATTAAGGAGTATGTCTTTTGCAGCTTTACAATCCGTGCAAATTAGGACTTTTTGATTGAGTAAATCGCTCTGAAATTTTGTAACACAATGGACAATAGCTAGGATCTCTTTTTTAACAGTGGAATAATTTTGCTGGGTCCGATTCCAAGCCCGAGAAGTGAAACGAACCAGTTGTTCAGGATTATAAATTTTTTGTTTTAAAATCCCTCTTAACCCTTTTTCTGAAGCATCACATTCAATAATTTTGAAAGCAGTAGGGTCGGATAGTGTCAGGCAGGGTAATTCTTTAGCCTTTATTTTTATTTTTCATACTGCTGAAGTATGCACATCCGTCCATTCCGGAGGATTCTTTTTCACTTTTTGAAATAATTGTTTAGCATCAATAGCTAAATCTTTGTAAAAATCAGCAATGTAATTAAGACAACTGATAAATCTCTGGAGCTCAGTTTTGTCTTTAATTATATTTGGGAATTTATTGGCAAAATCAATGGCTCTATTAATGGGGATTATTCTTCCTTGGAAGATATTATGTCCTAAAAATCTTATCTTTGTCTAACAAAGACTAATCTTTTAGGCAGAAACTACTAAACCAGCCACTTTGATTGCTTTGATAAACATATTTAAATGTTTAAAATGTTGTTCTAGATTTTCAGAGAATACTAAGACATCATCAATACAAGCAATCATAAATTTAGTATAAGGATTAAAGATGTCATTCATAATATTCTAGAACTCTGAAGGGGCATTCTTTGGTAAAAAAAGCATAACATTCCATTCATATTGCCCAAAAGGAATATTAAAAGCAGTTTTGTATCGATCTTTTTCAGCAATTTGGAATTGCTAATAACCAGACTTTAGATCAAATTTAGAAAAAATACAAGCATTAACAAGTCGATCCAACATATCTCTTTTATTAAGAATGAGATACCTTATCCATCTTAAAGCCTTATTGAGTGGCTTATAATTTATAAC